TGCATACTGTGGAAAAGCAGGAGAGTGGGGTGGGAGGAGGTATTGTTTCATGGTCTCTGTGTATATAATGTCTTCTGCAGTTTCCACAGTATGCATCCGATGAAGTGAGCTGTAGCTCACAAAAGCTTATGCTCAAATAAATTGGTTAGTCTCTAAGGTGCCACAAGTACTCCTTTTCTTTTTGCGAATACAGACTAACATGGCTGTTACTCTGAAACCTGTCATAGTTAATACAGTGTTTTCAAAATTGATGACACTCAAATCAGCTATTGATTAAAATCTTTTCATAGAAATTCCAAAATGAAAAATATAGGAAAGTGATATTTGTGTACCCCACAGATACACAATAATCAACACTGGAAATACAGTGTACAGTCTCCGTATGTACTCTTTGCAAAAGGTGTTTGAGAAACAGTGAAAAAATCAGGGACCCAACTTCAAACCCATCTGTTTTTATTCCCAAAATATTTTAAGATGCTTATTTCCCTACAAATTCTAACTGCAAAGAAAATGGAAGGGACTCTCCTACACTCTCCCTCCCCGCCCCCGTGAGTAAATCATTTACAATTCTTTTTTCTTGTTAAACACAATTCTCTCACACAACCTTAACTATGGTTTCACTACAACTCCACCGTAATAATAACCAGACATTCGGTGAAACAAAGGCAACCATTATAAAAGGAAAAATCTTTAAATAATGTATTATTAACTGTGGACCTCATTGCCATGAGATATCAAAAACTAACTAAAGATAATGTTAAACAGCAACTACTAAAGCTAGACTTGTTTAAAGTCAACAAGTTTGGAGGAAGTGCATCCAAGGGTCTTAGAAGAGCTATCCAATGAGTTCTTTGGACTACTAATTATTAAAAATCACATTTTTGAAACACTGGGGAAGTTCCATAAAACTGGAAGAAAGCTAATGTGTTAATATTTTAAAAGAGTACTTGGGATGACCTGGGTAATTTTAATCCTGACAGCTTGACATTGACCCCAGGCAAAATAATGGAATGTCTGACATGGGAGTCAGTTTATAATTAATGCCAATCAACATGGGTTTATGGAAAAGTGACTATTAATCTAACTTGATATCTTTTTATTATAAGATTACAAGTATGGATGATAATGGTGTTGATGTAATAGACTTCTGTAAGGCATTTGACTCGGTGCTACAAGACAGTTTGATTAAGAAACTAGAAAGCTACAAAATCAACATAATATACATTAAATGGATTAAAACCTGAATAATTGATAAGCCTCAAAACATAATTATAAACAGATTCATGCACATACATTTTGAGTGGGGTCCCGCAGGGACTGGTTCTTGGTCCTAAACTTTTAACATTTTTAGCAAATGACCAGGAAGAAAACAAAATCTATATGATGGTGTGCAGAGGACACAACAATTGGGGCAATGGTAAATAGGACCACAGGTCACAGACACAGAGCAATCAGCACCACTTAGTAATCTGGGCACAATCAAACAAAATGTGTTTCAGTAGGTCCAAATGTGAAGTTATATATCTAGGAACAAAGACTGCTAGCAATACTTACAGGATGGAGAACTCTTAACATGGGAAACAGTGTCTCTGAGAAGGATTTGGAGGTCATAGTGGATAACCAGAAGAACATAAGCTGCATTTTGTCACCATTGCTAAGAGGTCGAGTGTAATCCTTGGATGTATAAAACAGAGGAATCTTGAGAAGAAGTAGGGAGATTACATTATCTCTTATTTTGCATTGATGCAACTGCTAATGGAATAGTGTGTTCACACTTCAAGAAGAATTTTGAAAACTTGGAGACGATTGAGAAAAGAGACATGAGAACGATCTAAGGATTGAAAAACATGTCTCAGGGAGCTCAATCTATTTAGCTTATCAAAGAGAAAGTTAAGGAATAACTTGATCAATCTACAAGTAGCTACACGGTAAACATAAATTTGATAAGAGGGCTCTTCAATCTAGCAGACAAAGATAAAACAAGATCCAGTGGTTAGAAATTGAAGCTAGATAAATTCAGATTTGGAATAAGGCACACATTTTTAGGACAACTAAGCACTGGAACAACTTAACAAGGGCTGTGGTGGATTCCCCATTACTGGAAGTGTTTTAAATCAGTATTATTTAAATCAGCAGGACTTAGTTCAAGGAAGTTCTATGCCCTGTGTTATGCAGGAGGTCAAACTATGCGACCACAAAGGTCCCCCCGGTCTTAAAAAAAAGCTTATATAAGTGGACTGCCCCGAGCTCATTTATGGTATGCCTACACAGCGGGGGAAAAAACCAAACCCACAGCAGCAAGTCTTGGAGACTGGATCAACTAACTCGAGCACGCAGGGCTTGCATTGCAGGGCTAAAAATAGCAGTGTATACATTTGGGCTCAAGCTGGAACCCAGGCTGTGAATCCCGCCGAGGGGGGAGGGTCTCAGAATCCAGGCTCCAGCCTGAGCCCGAACATCTATGATTCTATTTTTAGCCCTGCAGTGTGAGCCCACATCAGTTGACCCAGGTTCTGATACTGGATAACGCAGGGGTGAGGGGTTGCTTTTGTTTTTTTGCTGTGTTGATGTACCCTTAGTGTGCTGCGCCAAGAGCCAGCTTCAAAACCTAATAATTCAGAACTTATTTGACTTTCATTCTTTTCTAAAGAGTACAATGTATGGCAGGTCCAACCAACAAAACAGCATTCATGCGGGAGCTTCCTAAAAGGGAGGAAGAAAGTCTGAAGCAAAATTTTATGTATAAGCAGTATTTCAAAATTCAGCTTGGTTCAAAACTGGCCCCATTGGGGCCTAGACTAGACTTTTGTGGTGCAAATTTGGGATGATTTGGTCAAAGCGTTTCTGACATATGTATACCCCTAAAAGCTGCTTTTAACATTTATCAATTCCTATAACTTCCCCACCCCCCCCACAGCCAGAGAAAACGTTATGGCTGTGTCTTAATGAGGATCGCATCACTGGACGGTCCCTCAGATCAATTATTCAACGATAACTTCTTTGCCCTGGTCTACACTAGGACTTTAGGTCGAATTTAGCAGCGTTAACTCGATGTAAACCTGCACCCGTCCACACAATGAAGCCCTTTATTTCAACTTAAAGGGCTCTTAAAATCGATTTCCTTACTCCACCCCTGACAAGTGGATTAACGCTTAAATCGACGTTGCTGGCTCGAATTTGGGGTACTGTGGACACAATTCGATGGTATTGGCCTCCGGGAGCTATCCCAGAGTGCTCCATTGTGACCGCTCTGGACAGCACTCTCAACTCAGATGCACTGGCCAGGTAGACAGGAAAAGAACCGCGAACTTTTGAATCTCATTTCCTGTTTGGCCAGCGTGGCAAGCTGCAGGTGACCATGCAGAGCTCATCAGCACAGGTGACCATGATGGAGTCCCAGAATCGCAAAAGAGCTCCAGCATGGGCCGAACGGGAGGTACGGGATCTGATCGCTGTTTGGGGAGAGGAATCCGTGCTATCAGAACTCCGTTCCAGTTTTCGAAATGCCAAAACCTTTGTGAAAATCTCCCAGGGCATGAAGGACAGAGGCCATAACAGGGACCCGAAGCAGTGCCGCATGAAACTGAAGGAGCTGAGGCAAGCCTACCAGAAAACCAGAGAGGCGAACAGCCGCTCTGGGTCAGAGCCCCAAACATGCCGCTTCTATGATGAGCTGCATGCCATTTTAGGGGGTTCAGCCACCACTACCCCAGCCGTGTTGTTTGACTCCTTCAATGGAGATGGAGGCAATACAGAAGCAGGTTTTGGGGACGAAGAAGATGATGAGGAGGAGGAGGTTGTAGATAGCTCACAGCAAGCAAGCGGAGAAACCGGTTTTCCCGACAGCCAGGAACTGTTTCTCAACCTAGACCTGGAGCCAGTACCCCCCGAACCCACCCAAGGCTGCCTCCTGGACCCAGCAGACGGGGAAGGGACCTCCGGTGAGTGTACCTTTTAAAATACTATACATGGTTTAAAAGCAAGCATGTGAAAGGATTACTTTGCCCTGGCATTTGCGGTTCTCCTAGATGTAGTCCTAAAGCCTTTGCAAAAGGTTTCTGGGGAGGGCAGCCTTATTGCGTCCTTCATGGTAGGACACTTTACCACTCCAGGCCAGTAACACGTACTCGGGAATCATTGTAGAACAAAGCATTGCAGTGTATGTTTGCTGGCATTCAAACAACATCCGTTCTTTATCTCTCTGTGTTATCCTCAGGAGAGTGAGATCTAATTCATGGTCACCTGGTTGAAATAGAGTGCTTTTCTTCAGGGGACACTCAGAGGAGCCCATTCCTGCTGGGCTGTTTGCCTGTGGCTAAACAGAAATGTTCCCCGCTGTTAGCCACAGGGAGGGGGGAAGGTTGAGGGGGTAGTCACGCGGTGGGAGGAGGCAAAATGCGACCTTGTAACGAAAGCACATGTGCTATGTATGTAATGTTAACAGCAAGGTTTACCCTGAAAGAGTGTAGCCACTGTTTTATAAAATGTGTCTTTTTAAATACCGCTGTCCCTTTTTTTTTCTCCACCAGCTGCATGTGTTTCAATGATCACAGGATCTTCTCCTTCCCAGACGCTAGTGAAGCTTAGAAAGAAAAAAAAACGCACTCGCGATGAAATGTTCTCCGAGCTCATGCTGTCCTCCCACACTGACAGAGCACAGACGAATGCGTGGAGGCAAATAATGTCAGAGTGCAGGAAAGCACAAAATGACCGGGAGGAGAGGTGGCGGGCTGAAGAGAGGGCTGAAGCTCAAATGTGGCGGCAGCGTGATGAGAGGAGGCAGGATTCAATGCTGAGGCTGCTGCAGGACCAAACCAGTATGCTCCAGTGTATGGTTGAGCTGCAGCAAAGGCAGCTGGAGCACAGACTGCCACTGCTGCCCCTCTGTAACCAACCGCCCTCCTCCCCAAGTTCCATAGCCTCCACACCCAGACGCCCAAGAACGCGGTGGGGGGGCCTCCGGCCAACCAGCCACTCCACCACAGAGGATTGCCCAAAAAAAAAGAAGGCTGTCATTCAATAAATTTTAAAGTTGTAAACTTTTAAAGTGCTGTGCTTAAAGTGCTGTGTGGCATTTTCCTTCCCTCCTCCACCACCCCTCCTGGGCTACCTTGGTAGTCATCCCCCTATTTGTGTGATGAATGAATAAAGAATGCATGAATGTGAAGCAACAATGACTTTATTGCCTCTGCAAGCGGTGACTGAAGGGAGGAGGGGCGGGTGGTTAGCTTACAGGGAAGTAGAGTGAACCAAGGGGCGGGGGGTTTCATCAAGGAGAAACAAACAGAACTTTCACACCGTAGCCTGGCCAGTCATGAAACTGGTTTTCAAAGCTTCTCTGATGCGTACCGCGCCCTCCTGTGCTCTTCTAACCGCCCTGGTGTCTGGCTGCGCGTAACCAGCAGCCAGGCGATTTGCCTCAACCTCCCACCCCGCCATAAACGTCTCCCCCTTACTCTCACAGATATTGTGGAGCACACAGCAAGCAGTAATAACAGTGGGAATATTGGTTTTGCTGAGGTCTAAGCGAGTCAGTAAACTGCGCCAGCGCGCCTTTAAACGTCCAAAGGCACATTCTACCACCATTCTGCACTTGCTCAGCCTGTAGTTGAACAGCTCCTAACTACTGTCCAGGCTGCCTGTGTACGGCTTCATGAGCCATGGCATTAAGGGGTCGGCTGGGTCCCCAAGGATACATATAGGCATTTCAACATCCCCAACAGTTATTTTCTGGTCTGGGAATAAAGTCCCTTCCTGCAGCTTTTGAAACAGACCAGAGTTCCTGAAGATGCGAGCGTCATGCACCTTTCCCGGCCATCCCACGTTGATGTTGGTGAAACGTCCCTTGTGATCCACCAGAGCTTGCAGCACTATCGAAAAGTACCCCTTGCGGTTTATGTACTCGGCGGCTTGGTGCTCCGGTGCCAAGATAGGGATATGTGTTCCGTCTATAGCCCCACCACAGTTAGGGAATCCCATTGCAGCAAAGCCATCCACTATGACCTGCACATTTCCCAGGGTCACTACCCTTGATATCAGCAGATCTTTGATTGCGTGGGCTACTTGCATCACAGCAGCCCCCACAGTAGATTTGCCCACTCCAAATTGATTCCCAACTGACCGGTAGCTGTCTGGCGTTGCAAGCTTCCACAGGGCTATCGCCACTCGCTTCTCAACTGTGAGGGCTGCTCTCATCTTGGTATTCATGTGCCTCAGGGCAGGGGAAAGCAAGTCACAAAGTTCCATGAAAGTGCCCTTACGCATGCAAAAGTTTCGCAGCCACTGGGAATCGTCCCAGACCTGCAACACTATGCGGTCCCACCAGTCTGTGCTTGTTTCCCGAGCCCAGAATCGGCGTTCCACAGCATGAACCTGCCCCATTAGCACCATGATGCATGCATTGGCAGGGCCCATGCTTTCAGAGAAATCTGTGTCCATGTCCTGATCACTCACGTGACCGCGCTGACGTCGCCTCCTCGCCCGGTATCGCTTTGCCAGGTTCTGGTGCTGCATATACTGCTGGATAATGCGTGTGGTGTTTAATGTGCTCCTAATTGCCAAAGTGAGCTGAGCGGCCTCCATGCTTGCCTTGGTATGGCGTCCGCACAGAAAAAAGGCGCGGAACGATTGTCTGCCGTTGCTCTGACGGAGGGAGGGGCGACTGACGACACGGCTTACAGGGTTGGCTTCAGGGAGCTAAAATCAACAAAGGGGGTGCCTGTACATCAAGGAGTATTTCAGGCAGGACTTCACGGAGGGTTCCAATAAGAAATGGTGCACCTAAGTTATCGTTCTTATTGGAACAAGGAGGTTAGCCTGGCCTCTGATTGATACATGGCTAGATTTACCTCGCTGCACCTTCTCTGTGAGTGACTGCAGTGTGACCTAGAGGAATGAATCCCCTAGACAGGGGAGGGGGCAAATGAGTACAAAACAAATCTGGTCTATTTCTTGTTTTGACCCACTCCATCTATCTTTTACATCTTTGGCTGGCAGCAGACGGTGCAGAAGGACTGCATGCCATCCACATCTCATGGCTGCTCGGCAGAAGATGGTACAGTACGACTGCTAGCAGTCCGTATCGCCTGCCCGCTCACCATAAGACGGTTCAATAGGACTGACTGCAGGACTGAAGAGAATGACCTGGTCAAGTCACTCCAAATTTAGTCCCTGCGCCCATGTCTGCCCAGGCGCTCCCAGCCGACGTGGCCAGGAGCACCTCGGACACGACGAGGACGACTACCAATCGTATTGCACCGTCTGCTGCCAGAAGGCAATGGGTTGCTGCTACTGTGCAGCAAAGCCGTACCGCGTCTGCCAGCACCCAGGAGACATAGGGTGACGGTTACCTGAGCGGGCTCCATGCTTGCCGTGGTATGGCGTCTGCACAGGTAACTCAGGAAAAAAGGCGCGAAACGATTGTCTGCCCTTGCTTTCACGGAGGGAGGGAGGGAACGGGGGCCTGACGATATGTACCCAGAACCACCTGCGACAATGTTTTAGCCCCATCAGGCATTGGGATCTCAACCCAGAATTCCAATGGGCAGCGGAGACTGCGGGAACTGTGGGATAGCTACCCACAGTGCAACGCTCCGGAAGTCGACTCTAGCCTCGGTACTGTGGAAGCGCTCCGCCGAGTTAATGCACTTAATGCACTTAGAGCATTTTCTGTGGGGGGACACACACTCGAATATATAAAACCGATTTCTAAAAAACCGACTTCTATAAATTCGACCTTATTCCGTAGTGTAGACATACCCTTTGAAATACTGGTTTTCAAAACTGGTTATCATATTCGCATTCTGGTTTTCCAGATGCGTACACCAGGTTCTGGCAAGCATCTTTTGGTAACAGAGTATCTACCTTAGAGAGACAAAGGTTTACAGACAATTCACCCCTCTTCAAGCTATTGTTCACTAGGGAACACCTTTGTTAATGGCACAGTGAGTAACATTTGGTTGCTTGGGAAACAGATGCTGGCCCTTTAACACAAGGACCATGAATTCAAATCCTCTCCTCAGAATATTTGTGAGTGTGACAATTAGCACTTCCCTTCTTGCTGTCTGGGACCACAATGGAACTCTTTCTGGAAGTATGGGTGGTGTATGAATTTTGAGGAAGTGCAACACCACAGAAGTGTATCTCCAGCACTATCTACACATCTACACTATCTACACATATCTATTCCTGCCCTAGAATAGTTTGGCAGGTTGTGGCAGTACTGTGCTGGGATATGAAAGCCAGTATGGCTAATATAGGAGGAACTTGCTGTCACGTTGACAAGGACACGAGTGAGGTCAATGTAAGAGTCCTGGCCAAGACAAATCAGTTATGGGCCAAACAAGGCTCAGTGAACAACTGCCAGGCACCACTGCGAACAACAGATCCAGCCTGCATCAGGAACTAATAGGTACACTCAATGCATGCCACACGCACACTGTGCTGAAAACGGAGTAGGGAAATGAGAAAGGTATGCTCTCATGCAGGGCACAGGCACATAGCACTGAGATGGGCCAAGTGGGGAAGAGAACACCCATTGAGATCAACAGAGCACTTCACTCCTCTGTAAACCTCATATGCTGTAGAGACGTATGCAAAACCTGTTCCCCCCCATGCTAGTCTCTGAAATGGAGTAGGGACTCTGGGGGTCCCCTTCCCTTCCCTTCCCTATGCTACCTCCAAGTTGGTGTATTTGTTCCTCACAGTTGATCAGCTACAACCTTTTCTCACTGTGGCCCCTCCAGTACTACTGGTTGTATAAAGTGCCTGAAGGAAGGCACAGCCGGTACCTGAGAGGTGGTGATATGTGGCCCCAAAGCCTTCCCATCATGACCCCACCACTACCCTACCTCCTCACAAAACAAGGAACATTAATAAAAACTTGGTTAAAGGGGAGTTACAATTGCCTGGCAGTGCCGCAGACCCTTCAAACTGACACCTCCGAAATTCAGGAAGTGTTATTTTGTTTGGAGTACATTAGAAAAGAAGGAATTGTACAGTTATAGTAATGCTTTCCATACCACACACCACCTTAATTCTACCCCTTGGGTGATAGCAATAGGAATATAACATTACTCTACCCAGCCTAATGAAAACTGCCAATTTCTCACACCTCACACAAACCCCAATATCAGCACTCCTGTTTACACACTTCCATCCTCACTGTATTTTTGCAGCACCATTGACTCAGGGACCTAGACATAGGTTGGCAGACCTCACTAGGAACAATAGTTTGAGCTCCTGTTAACAAACTGAGTGAGGGGTTGGTAGGGCCGCCTCTCTGAAGCGCCCCTTGTGGCAGAGATCAAGGGGGCAGAGTTGAGGTTCTGGAATGTTAACTAAATTGTGTATTTAAAATTGCCATATTTGCTAGTGTTTGCATTCTGTTTATTTCCCGATTCTCCAAGATCTTCATTTTCAGCAGGCACAAGTTTTGAAAGGTTATGTGTAGGACCCTACCAAATTCACGGCCATGAAAAATGCATCACAAAGACCGTGAAATCTGGTCTCCCCATGTGAAATCTAGTCTTTTGTGTACTTTTACCCTATACTATACAGATTTCAAGGTGGGAAGACTTCATTTCTCAACCTGGGGGTCCGGACCCAAAAGGGAGTTGCAGGTGGGTCGCAAGGTTTTGGTTTTTTTGTTTGTTTCTTGTTGTTGTTTTTTTGGGGGGAGGGGTGTCACAGTATTTCCACCCTTACTTCTACGCTGACTTCAAAGCTGGGCAGTTGGAGAGTGGCAGCTGTTGGCCAGGCACCCAGCTCTGAAGGCTCAGAATAAGGGGGGCAATACCATACCACTGTTACTTCTGCGCTGCTACCTTCAGAGCTGGGTGGCCGGAGAGTGGTGGCTGATGACCGAGAGCCCAGCTCTCAGCGCACCACAGAAGTAAGGGTGACAATACTACACCATGCCATCCTTACTTCTGCGCTGCTGCTGCTGGTGGCGGCTCTGCCTTCAGAGCCGGACTCCCAGCCAGCAGCCACCGCTCTCCAGCTGCCCAGCTCTGAAGGCAGCGCCGTCGCCAGCAGCAGCGCAGAAGTAAGGGTAGCAGTACCGCAACCCCCACTACAATAACCTTGTGACCCCTCCCCACAGCTCCTTTTTGGGTCAGGATCCCTACAATTACAACAGCATGAAATGTCAGATTTAAATAGCTGAAATTATGAAATTTATGATTTTTAAAATCCTGTGACTGTGAAATTGACCAAAAAGGACCATGAATTTGGTAGGGCCCTAGTTATGAGGCCCTGTCAGGACATCTTTAACAAAGGTTTGCTTCTCTTTCCTTTTTTGAGTGACATTCACTACCTGTTAATGACTGTTATTTGGTTAAGACCGTAGTCTATGATTTGGTGAATGAATTGTGTTTATTTTACATGTTGTCATAACAGATTATAGATTAAAAGTGTGCACAGTTCTGTCTTGTGGATTGAAGGGAGCCCTCTCACCAACCAAGCCAACAAGTAGCCAAACTTGAGTTGTACGAGCTAAAATTCAGTACAGGATGACAGATCTTCACAATGGAAATAATCAGTTAGCTGAAACACCAACCCTTCCTTTCTCCCTGAATGAATTCCAGGAAGACTCACCTTTGTCTGCTCTTGCCTGAGCTGCTTTAATAATGCTATGTCATCCTGGGCCTTCTCCCTCTTTTCTCGAAGAGTTTTTACTACATTGGAAGTCTGAGCAATACAGCTTTTGATTATTTTCTCTCTGCTGGCATGAGCCTCCATCAGCTAATTGGAGAAGAAAAAAATAATCAGATTATCTGGCTCAATGGCCTGTGGGAAGAAAAAGCCGCTAAATTACAAAAACAAGTTTAAAAACAAAACAAAACATGCTGTGTTGAGTCTCACAGTACAGCTACAATAGCAGCTCTCCTTGTTGGTAGAGCAATCTTGCCACAACTGCTCTCCTATACTTCTGCTTATGTGACAGGTCCCCATTTCCGTACATCACAAGGAGAGAATACCCCTTCCTTCTCTCAGACGTGGATCCCACTCCCCACAAACTGACAGCTGTATACAAGATCTTATTTCCAATTCTAAGGTAGGTGGGGGAATCGAATAGCAATAGTATAACTATATTGATCTTTCTGTGCTGGGGCCATGCTAACAGGGGCTCACATTGCAGGGTACACAGCAAGCTATGGAGCAGGTGCTAGAAGAGCACAACACTAGCAGGGAAAGACACAATAAAGATACTAAAGTGAGTCCAACTGCCTTTTTTCTTTTTCTTTTTTTTTTTTTTAAAGAAAACATCTCATGGATATAATATTCCCGCTCAGTACCAACAATTGAAATTCCTCAGTGCTTACAGGAAGTGACAAACAAAGTAGATTGAGGGTGGGACAAGAGACAGGTGGGCTACACCATTACACAGAGCCGACAGGTCAAATCTTTCAGAGGCGCTGCTTCTCCTTGACGCACCCTATTGCTTTGTTGTTTCCTTAGGTCCGGTCTATGCTACAAATTTACACTGGTATACATCCACACCCGAGTGATGTAGTTATACTGAACTAACCCCCAGTGTAGACAGCTCTATGTCGACCGGTAGAACTTCTCCTGTCAACAGGGTTACTGCCTCTCATGGAGGTGGATTAACTACGCTGACAGCAGAAGCTCTCCCATTGGCACAGTAGAGTCTTCACTAAAGTACTACAGTGGTGCTACTTGTACATGTACACAAGCCTTTACTTCGTGCTAAGCCTGACTCCCACCCACATCCTACCACCGTATAGGCTCTACTGCTCCAGGGAGGAGTTTCTAGGATATAAAGGTTTCAGATCTGGTGGCTGCTGTTATAATCTTTAGAATCAGTTGTCTGTGATCCCATAAGAATCAGTTTTGAGTCTTTAATCTATATCCTGGCAAGCAATGTTGTTCAGAATACCAAGTAACTGAATTTAACAAATAGTATCAGACAGAGGAAAAGGTGAAGACCTTAACTTTATAGAAGTAGACTGCTTTGAAAGTACTGCGGAAATGTGTTAGCCCTTCTATTTAGATGGAGTAATGGATGAGCTGTCTGACACATACTATGGTCAGCAGAATATCCTGCAAGAATGCTAGAGTGGAGCAAAAAAACAACAACAAACTCTGCACATGGGCTCCTGATGTAAAGCAGCCATTACGTGTGTGGGGACTAGCTATATAAAAAGTCAAGTAGGTCAGTTGTGGATGCATATTGGAGTGTCTGCTGTGCTAGCAATTTGTAACAAGCTGGGGAACGGGTGATTTTGTGTTTCTGGACACTACATTTAATAAAGCATCACGAATTGGTTAAAAAAAGCTATAATGGAATAGGTACACTTACAGACTGGTAGAGCTCTTTACAGGTTTGGTTAGCATCGACTTTCCCTGCAAAGGAAGCTGTTGGAAGTGTAGTGTTTAATTCATGGACTATTCTGTCATCAATTGTCCGCATCACCCTGAGCAAATCCTGCATGTAAAAATAAAAATCCTTGCTTATACTTGAATGACAGGGAAATTAGAGGTTTCAGAGTAGCAGCCGTGTTAGAGAGGAACTGTACAATTACGCAATTTTTAATTTGAATAGCTGTGTTACCTGGAGAACATAGCAAAAAAACCAAAAAAGTGCCATCCATGAAACAGTCTTTGCTGAATTTTTTGAGGATGAATATTGTTTTGGGTCCTTGTGGAACCTTAGAGACTAACAAATTTATTTGGGCATAAACTTTCATGGGCTAAAACCCACTTCATCAGATGCATGCAGTGGAAAATACAGTAGGCAGGTATAAATACACAGCAAATGAAAAGATGGGAGTTGCCTTACCGAGTTGGAGGTGGGGTGTCAGTGCTAATAAAGCCAATTCAATTAGGGTGGATGTGGCCCATTTTCAACAGTTGACAAGAGGGGGTGAATATTAACAGAGGGAAAATTACTTTTTGTAGTGCTAACGAGGCCAATTCAGTCATGGTAGATGTGGCCCATTTCCAACAGACAAGAAGGGGTGAACATCAGAGGTAAAATTATTTTTTGTAGTGAATCATAGAATATCAGGGTTGGAAGGGACCTCAGGAGGTCATCTAGTCCAACCCCCTGCTCAAAGCAGGACCAATTCCCAGTTAAATCATCCCAGCCAGGGCTTTGTCAAGCCTGACCTTAAAAATATCTAAGGAAGAAGATTCCACCACCTCCCTAGGTAACGCATTCCAGTGCTTCACCACCCTCCTAGTGAAAAAGTTTTTCCTAATATCCAACCTAAACCTCCCCCACTGCAACTTGAGACCATTACTCCTTGTTCTGTCATCAGCTACCACTGAGAACAGTCTAGATCCATCCTCTTTGGAACCCCCTTTCAGGTAGTTGAAAGCAGCTATCAAATCCCCCCTCATGCTTCTCTTCTCCCAGTCTTTATTCAGGCCTAATTTGATGGAGTCAAGTTTGCAAATTAATTCCAGTTCTGCAGTTTCTCACTGAAGTTTGTTTTTGAGGTTTTTTTGGGGAGCATGCAGCGTGAGTAGGGACATCATTCGGAGCAAAGGCATGAGTTAGCCTGCGTGGAGGCTAAGAATTTGCTGCTGGTGGCAGTTATTGGTATCTAGGCATTCTCTTTTGCTGCTATGTCACGATTTGCTGCCTCTGCCTTTCCTCATCTGCCACTTTTAAGTCTGTTATTGAGTGTCCAGGGAGATTGCCTTTGAGTATTTTCACTTTGTTCTCTAGGCTGCCCAGCTCCACTCCCCTGCTCTGCAGGTATCTTGCATAAGACCCTCATTCCCCTCAGTTTGTGTGCTAGAGAGGTACTCGCAGCTGGTTTCAGCAGCGTCTCATCTTTCCAGAATCAGCTATTGTGCTGTCCCTGAGGCAGCTCAGGGTGGCTGGCCAACACTTCTGGTTTTCCTACTCATTGGCTGCAAGCTGAATACCCATCTATGGCTTGCAAAGCCCTGCTGCCTAGCTCCATAGAACAGTGTATGCTGAAATCGAACTAACTCCCCCTTTTGAGAAAAGCTGAAGGGCAAGAGACAGCTACAAAAAAGTCACAGAACAGAGGCACAGAAAGTTCTTTGGGGCAGGGGCCATCTTGTTTTGTATTTGCACTGTACCTAGCAAAATGGGGTCCTGGTCCATGACTGGGGCTCCTAAACACAATGGTAATGCGAATAAGTAAACACAATTTGGGGTATCTAAGTGCAGCAGAATGGCAAATCCCACAGCAAAAAAACCCACTGAATTCTGTAGCATCTTAGAAAAACTGCAAATTCCATAGCCACAGAATCATGCAGAACTTAGCCCCTGGACTTTTCCTGATGTAAGTCAGTCACATTTTGTATTTTATATTAATTATTCTAAATGTAAATAACCCACATGAAATCTAACATGGAAGTACTGTGATGTGCCGCTAATATTTTAAGAGTGATTCTTTTAACCTAGGATACACCTGTTGCACATGCAACAGACCAGATAAGTGAGGCAGTGAGGAACCTATTCCTTTGTTTTCTCTATTTAAATAAAACAAAACACTCTCATAACTGCAACCAAAGAAGAAAGCAGTGCCATGGACAATCATATTAGATACATTTGCTGGAAATGTTTGCTGTTTGTTCTTTTTCTGGAAAACATACAGAGCATTTTGAGAATAGAGGCAGCACAATAGCATAATTTGAAGGAGAGATAAATATGTTGTAGTCTAGAGAAGAAGTTCTTCCACTAGGAAATACTTTGAGATCACATGCGAGCCTACTGTTTCTTCAAGACAGATATCTATGTGCTTTAGCAACATCAAAGATACAGTTGCCTGAATTCTTTCCTTTTTTATTGTAATACTATTGTATCAGTGCACTTCTATCATACCTGCCTACCCCTGAAATCTAAAAATTAGGTCACATTTAACTTCTCAAATATCCAATTATAACAAGTGAAATTGACACAGGGAAGGGGGAATTATGAATATTTTGCTTAAAACTACGGAGAGTTTGCATACAAAATCTAGTTCCAGGCATGTGAATATGAATGCCAAACCAGACTTTAAGGGCATATTACCTAGCAAGCACACAAGATATAAAAATATAAAGCCAGATAAACAACTATCTGTGCACTGACAGCAAGCATCAGACAAACACGGGAAGAAGGGATCTTGGCCTTTTGGGTCAATTGCACAGAAGTTAAATGAACTGATAGGCAGATAGGACACGTCTACCCTTACCCACCCACTCCCTGATGCTGTGATTGATGAGAACCAGGGGTCAATACAGCAGGTCTCGTGGAAGACCTGCTAAATCAACCGCAGATCGCTCTCCCATGGACTCCAGTACTCCATGGGAACAAAAAGCAGAAGTTAAGTCAGCTGTGGCTCACGAAAGCTCATGCTCAAATAAATTGGTTAGTCGCTAAGGTGCCACAAGTACTCCTTTTCTTTTTGCGAATACAGACTAACACGGCTGTTCCTCTGAAACCTGTCAACGGGAGAGTGTCTCCCATCAACCCAGCACTGTGTAGACAAGACAGTAAGCTTCATTATTCACGTAGCTGGAGTTGCATAACTTAGGTCAACTTATCGCCGTAGTGAAGACACAGCCTTAGAGAGACAAGGTGGGTGAGGTAAGATCTCTTTTAATATCTTCAGGTCTCAGAGCTCTGTGTGGCTCAAAAGTTTGTCTCTGTTACCAACAGAAGTTGGTCCAATACCTCACCCACCTTGTCACTGTAATATCCTGGGACTGACAGGGCTACAACTACTGTGGATACATCAAACAATACACATTTCCATATCTTCTGGGGGCTGCCCAAAGCTCAGATACCATCTCAGGAGTGGTCTACACTTAAGAGTTTTGCTTGGACATTAAAGTTGGTTAGCTGGAGGGGAAGCAGGGTTTGCAACATTTCTAGACCAGGAAGTCCCTTAAGACAGATACATTTATACTGGCAAAAAAGTGCTTTGGGCAGCATTGTTTATTTTGCATAAGAGACTGGTATACGCTGTACTAGCAAAAATGACCTTTTTGCTGGTATACATTGCAGCTACACGAGGAGGGATAGGTGAAGACAATGGCCCAAGCGCCCACCTGGTGCCTCAGACACCTTCCTTTAGAATCTTCCCCCACGACCAGTCTCTGCAATTTTCACCACCCCCGAGTCCTCCCCCACAAGCAGAAGGCCCCGATCCCCACTGGGCACTTATCTCCCCGCCTCACCCCAACTTCGGGAAACACCCCTTGCTCCCAGTAGGGGAGAGGCATCTTGTCTCCCTCGCTCCAGGGGAGGGGCGCCCGCCTGCCTTGTTTCCCCTCCTCTGCGCGGGGCGGCGGGAGCTCGTGCCCCACGGTCAGTCAGGGTCCTGGGAGGACCCCGCCGCTCCCTCGGCCCCGCGCGGACGGAGGCCGGTGGGGGGCGGGGAAGAGGCCATTTGCCCCCCGGCTCCGCGTGGGGCAGAGCCGGCTGCTCCAACCCGCTCCCGTCACCTCCCGGCTGGAGGCAGGAACCGCTGCGGCCACCCCCAGGGCCCGGCTCACACCAGGCGCAGCGCCCGGCCACGGAGGGGCCCCAGCGGGCCCTGCTCGTACCTGGAACTCGGCAAAGTCCTCGCAGGTCCGGACTCCGCTGGGCGCCGCCATATTGGAGAGGCCGCGGAGCCCGACGCCGGCCAATCAGCGGGCAGCGGGGGTGACGGGATTGGCTAGCAGCGCTCGAGGCCGCTCTTTGCAGAGCGCTAGGCATTCGCTTTTGCGGCCATGTCACGATTTGCTGCCTCTGCCTTGCCTCAGCCGCTGGCCTGTGGGTAGCACGCTGTGAGCGGTGCGGACATCCCCATCGCATCTTGTACCGTTGTGAAACCTCGCCTTTAAATCTGGACACAAATAGTGGCAGTTTTGTCATTTGAAAAATCACTCTACAGAGTTAAACCTGAGGGTTGTTGTAGGTAAAGCCCTGAATGAAGGAGTTATCGCTTTTGTGACATTCTGTACCTTGGGGGAGCATCCTGGAACCACCATATTCCTCATTTTCATATAATCATGATCTTACATATAAAGCCTGCCTTGTAAGGTATCAGGGGAAAGGTTAGTATGATCTGCTGAAAGTCATTTCTCTATCTATATATGTGTATCATTAATGCATATGAAGTTATGAGAATTGTGTTGTATGGTTGTCAGCATGCTGCAGGTTGGGGGACCAGCCAGATATTAGCTCCCTAGTAAAGAAAGTAACTAACACCTAGGTGGGGTGTCAATCAACCCACCAACAATCATTGTCCCGCAAAGGAACTACAATACAATGGCTCACCTGCATGAGGCCACACCAGGGGAATTGCTCAACTTTGCCTGGATACTTAGCCATGTACCCAGACATGCCTGGACTTGTTTTCCAAGCACATGGACTAAGGATATAAAACAGAGTGGCCACATGCTTGACCTTCTCCTGACTCCACCTATGCTACAAGCAACTAAGACACTGAGAAGAAGACACAACACCAACAGAGGCGATTGGCCCAGATTTCAAGGGTGGAATTTGTACACTAAAGGGCTGCAATATCCAGTGGGGTGAGAAAAAAAACTGCTTAATCTAGTTGTTGCCTGGTCTATATGGTTGAGAGCTCAGACTGTATGGTTATATTTTATTTCTTTTGGTAACTAACTCTGACTTTTTGCCTATCACTTAATATCACTTAAAATCTACCTTTTATAGTCAATAAACTTGTGTAATTGTTTATCTTTACCAGAGACTTTGGATGAAGTGTGGGCAAATCTGCTCAGGTTTGCAAAGGCTGGTGTATGTCCACTTTCCATTGATGAAGTGGTGAACCAATTAATAAATCTGCATTGCTTGTCTTGCAGTGCAAGATGGTATATTCCTGAGATACAGTGCTGGGACAGCTGGGGGTGATTTGGCTCAGGTCCCTTTCTCTGTTTGATTCATGAATGGCTCTGGGAGCATTAATACAATCTAGCTGGGTGTGGGGCTTCACATGCTGTTATGCTGAGAGATAACAGTGCCTGGAGGCATGTGCTCCTGGGCACTAGCGAGCCATTGTGAGAGAAAGCCCAGGCTGGAGAGAGTTAAGGGGGCACAGCAGTCCCACAGTCCCATGCTGCAACCCGGGGATCCCGTCACATCTTTATTAGTCTTTTTCCTTTGTAAATTGCAGTTTCTGTAGTAAACAAACATATAATGCACATAAAACATTGAAAATAGCATAAAGCATTGTAAACAGTATTTGGAATACTTATGAATACCATTTACTCAGAGGCTGTTAGGCAAAAAATCTACCATTGTTCTTTATACAGACTCCACCCCATCCCTGCTTTGTTACTGCTACACATATTGTACAAGTTCCCAACACAAAATTTGCACTTTTGTACTTTGGCACGCATATATGAATATATTGCTCTCTAAACTTATTTCAGAGAGATTTTCTCAGGCCTTTTCCTCATTGCTAAAACAGACATGCCTTATTCTCACTGTGTTTTTTTCCCCTCAGAATAGCTCCTGCACGTTAGTTACCCTGATGTTTAAAAAAAAATCACCTTTTTTAGCAGTGAGGAAAAGGCCTCAGGGCTAGATTCTCAAAGGGACATAGGCATTGTGGTGCCAAGCATCACAATGCCTAACTTTCAGGGACCTAGAAAATCAGTGGAACACCCCTGCAATTTACAAAGGCTAAATTAGGCACCTAGGCTTAGGCTCCCTATGCAATGAATGGGAATAGATAGGCACTTTAGAATAGAATTAACAAAAACCAGCATACTAGCCTAAACTAACCAATGGGAAATGCTGATATGAGGGGTATGTCGTAAACCCTTCCCCCTCACAGAATTGGCAACCTAAATCTGAGCTGCCTAGGAGTGCTTATCTCCACTAACAATTCACAACTAGGAACCCCTCTCCTGGAGTCAGGCAGCTTAAGAAGCCTAAATTTACACTTGTGAGAATAAGTGAGGCCACAGGAAGAGGTGATGGTGTGGTGCCCACCTTATAACTTATAGTCCAGTGGTTAGAGCCTTAACCTAGGATGTGGGAGACCCCTGTTCAAATTCTTTCTCTCCCTCTACCAGAATGGGGGAATGAACCCTGGTCTCCCAAATCCCAGGTGAGTGCTCTAACCACTGCACTAAAAATTATACGGTAGGCAATAACACTGCCACCACTACCACCTCTTCTGGACAGATTTTGAATGGGAACTGATCCATTCAGCAGGCAGCCCCTGAGCATGCCTGCCAGATTAGGCCTTGCATGCAAGATAGGCATTTGTCCACCTGTCTTCCCTCGATTGTTAATCACACTGGGGCTTAGGTGGGAGATAGGCATCCAGATGCCTAGAGTGAGGCAGCAGTGCACATGTTCAGAGGCAGCAATTTAGGCACCTAGGGAACTTTTGTACTGAAAATGTAGGCACTGAGTTTAGGCACCTACAGGATTCACTGGGAGTTTTGTGAATTCCAGTGGAGCTTAAAACTGGGATTTAGGTACCTCAATCCATAGGTGCCTATGTACCTGTGAATCTAGTCCAAGTCTCTATAAAGTGGCCCTAATATGTAGTGTACGTACCGGGCTTCTTCAGATCTTGATAAGAATGTCAGTGACCTCCCTTTATTCAAAACACTTCTCGTGTTTTCAGCAAACCCATCCCTCACAGCAGATGTGCATGCGCTTTCACTAATATCACATGACTGTCTGAAGCAGATATATTGATAAAATTTCCCCCTGAGGCCTGACTGGCAGAGCTATCAGGTCAGTAAATGGGATGTGACAGTCCAAGTGGCTTGCCTACAATGAAATTGGTTAGTCTCTAAGGTGCCACAAGTACTCCTTTTCTTTTTAATGAAAGCTTTAGAGACAAATACAGAGCATGTCTAGTAACTGCAACACCCTATTTCTGGATGTTTCTGGATCAGGTGATTAGCCCCGCACTTTGCACATCTCAATGTCTTAAGTGAGCTGAAAATAATTTTATTACAGCCTATCAGACCTTTCTATATATTGCAATCATGGACTAATTCTTATTTCCATCATAATGTAGAAAGGCGTAAGAGACAATGCTGTGTTTGTAAATTAAATTTTCCTGGGAGCACATAGTTAGTAAACGATAAGGTTCACATCATGTGTGGTTAGCAAGCAAGTATAAGCTGAGATTCGAGGAATCTTTATAGTTTGAAGCTCCAAAAATGTGGATCAGTTGATTCATTCTAATGGGACAAGAGTGCCACCACTCTATATCCATTGTTCATAGAAGGGATCATTGTACAAGAAGGCCAACAACCTCAATGGGCCCAGCAGGATCTACCATGATACTATCAGGCCTTCATTCTCTTCATCATGAAAAATGCCTTGATAAGTGCAGGGCAGAGAGAAGGAGTGAGATCACCTTAGATGTTTTGACTGAAATAAACCAAGCCTCTGATGTTTGTAGCCAGACCAAAGGCAAAATGGAAAAACTTAGTCTGCAAAGTTCTTACAGTATTAACTGCTGCAGATCAGTTATCAGATAAGAAATGGACTTTATCAAGGTTTGTAAAACTGACTAATGTAAACAAAATATATTGGGAAAACTGCTCTCAGAAACAGAATCATTAACAAGGAATGTAAATTGCTTTATGCTAACTTAATAGAAAATAGATGCATTCAGCTCACAAGCAAAATGTATGAATCAAATCATGAAATTTGGTTGTTGTAGCTATAAATGTGTTTAAAAAGGAGATGTTATGTAACCAGAATAAAACAGTCACTAGTAATGGATAAGTATAGTACATTATATTTAGAATTCTTTACATTCATGCTGAAACTATACTATAATTAGGTGCTGTACCTTTGCATAACTCTTGCTCTGTATACTGCAGGAGAGTACAATGCTTGAGAAATACACTCAACCCTCCAGCCTTTAGGTATTCTGCTGTGGTTGGCTGCTATAGATCTTCCATCTTGCAAATATGAATGGAGCCAGATAAAGTCTATAAGGTTTATAGTGTAAGCCAATATCATATACAATATTATATACAATATCACATATGTTTTTGTATATCTGTTAATTTGATTTATGTTAAGCTCTTCCAAAATGCTTTTGCTTACATTAAATTGTTTAACCAAAGGAAGATGTGAAGTATTGTCATCTCAGTGTTAGTTATAAAAATATTCCAAAGATCAAGGACAATACAAACAATATTGCTGATGCTTAGCTAACATGCCCTCTGTACCAAGCTATAACTGGTGAAGGATGTCTCTAAGGTTTTGCTGGCTTCTAGAATATGGTCAAAAAGAGGATAATAAACTAGTTACAAACTTTGTCCTGTGTACTGCAGGGACTGTGCAAGCCTAGCAAAAAGTCCTCAAAATATGTCAAAGGTAATAGATAAGAAGGATAAGGAATAATACAAAGAAATGGTGAAACCCTCAACACTAGTATATATGGAGGCAGAGTGAAACTCAGATTGAGTCAAATGGCCAGCTGTACAACTGTCTCCCAGATCAGTGGTAACATATTGTTCTTATTTTCTCCTTGCTGTTTTAATCTTTGACTTATAATCTTTGATTAATAAAGTTGATTAGGCCTATTTATTT